AAAAACAAGGAGTGAAATACAGATGGGGCCGTGACTTAAGCTTAATTGGGTGGAGGGATGGAACTACAGCTATCTTAAGATTCCCGGAGGATATGGGAAGAATTTTGTGATAAATTTGGACTGCAGAGACAAGTGATATCTGGTTGGGAAGGGGAGGAGGCAGAGCTGGACATTTGTGGGTCAGGAAAGTGGCAGCTGGTTAAAAGAGGAATTAGAGAATCAACAGATAAGGGGACATAGGGGGAGGAGGGGGGGAAGGTAAGCGGTCATGGGCAGAGTCAAACCCCTATAGAGGGATCAAAAGTGGAATATGATCCAAAGGCATAGGAGGCCTGGGGGGGGTGGGGAGGTGGGAGGGAGGGGGGGGAGGAGATGGCAGGGGGGGAGGGTTAGGGAGGGGGGGGGGTTGGGGGGAGGTGAGGGCGGGATAGAAATGGATAATAAGGGCAATACTCTGCAGGATAGAGAGAGGTATAAAAAGCAAGCGTAAAGAGAAGGAGGATAGTTATGTGATCTCCAGTTAGAAGGGAAAAAAGAAGGATATAAAAAGGATGGAAGATTTACAAGTTATCACTTATAATGTGAAGGGGTTGAACTGTCCTGGGAAGAGATTTAGGTTATTTAAGGAATTACATCATCAAGCAGTTTCGGTGGTTTTTTTTGCAGGAGACACATCTCGAGATAGAATCTAAGGTGAAGCTGAAATCTAGAGATTACCCAACATGGTATTATGCAGATTCCCCGATTAAGAGAGCTAAAGGTGTGGCAATAGGGTTCAGAAAAAATATAAGATTTGAACTGAAGGACAGAAAAGTGGACCCAGAGGGGAGATATTTGTTTTTGAAGGGTAAAATACAAGAGGTGGAGTGTACAGTAGCTAATATTTATTGTCCAAATAAAAAACCAGAGGAGTACTTGAAGGGTGTGCTAAAAAAGTTGATGGATTTTAAAGAGGGTTGTATAATAGTGGCGGGAGATTTTAATTTTTGTATGGATCCACAAAATGATACAACTTCTAATGTGCAGCGAGAGGGGAGTAGATCTTTGAGACTATTAAAGTAGGTGATCCATGAATGCCAATTGGTAGATGCATGGAGAATCTTGCATATGAAAGATAGAGACTACACATTCTTCTCAAATGCACATCAGATGTATTCAAGGTTGGACTATGTATTGATAGAACATCACTTTATAGACTCAATGGTTAAAGCAGATATAGGAGTAATGACGTTTTCGGACCATGCCCCCCGGTCGTATTGAGGATGGGATGGGGAAAGAGGAGAACAGAAGGGGTAGGTTGGAGGCTGAATGAAGCACTTCTCATGGACAAGGATATTGCACAGAGGTTTGGGAAGGAAATTGAGAGATTCTTTAGAGAGAATGAGACAGAGGATGTGTCTAAGGCAACAGTATGGGAGTCTCACAAGTCATATATAAGAGGAATTCTGATTGCAATAGGGGCAAGAAAAAAAAGAGAAAGAAGAGAAAAAATTTGTGGGCTCTTAAAGGATATATCGGAGTTAGAACAGATACATAAAAATAGAATGGTAAATGAATTTAAGCAGAAGATAACAAAAAAGAAAGAGGAACTGGAAACTCTGATGGAAGAGGAGAGAAGGAGAGTGTATAACAAAGTATTAAGTGAAAAATATAAATGGGGAGATAGGCCAGGAAAATATCTAATGAGAACCTTAAGGAAAAAAAAAAATAGGAATTATATAGACAAAATAAAGAGCCCCAAGGGAGAATTGGTCCACTCAAATAAAGAGATCGCAAAGATGTTTGTGGATTATTATAGGAAGTTGTATAATATCATCCCATACGAGGAAATAAATAATATGGAAAAGGAAAAAAAAGGAAAAAAGGAAGATTTATTTAAAAAATGCGGGATTACCGAAAATAAAAGAGGACCAACTAAATTCCCTTGAAGTAGAGATTACACAAGAAGAGATAAAGGTAGTAGTAAAAAACATGGAGATGGGGAAGAGTCCAGGACCAGATGGGTATACAGCAGGGTACTATAAAAAATTTAGCGAAATATTATATCCCAAATTGGAAAAAAATATATGAACGCCCTGGGAGGAGAGATGGACATGAGGGGAGAATCTTTACAGGCTCACGTAGTACTGTTACATAAAGAAGGGAAAGACTCCTCGCAATGTTCGAGTTATAGGCCCATTTCACTGTTGAATTTAGACACTAAGATATATGCAAAGGTCCTAGCGAATAGGTTGAAGGAGTTTATGCCTGAATGGATACATGGAGATCAGGTGGGCTTTGTCCCGGGAAGAGAGGGCAGGGACAATGGGCTGAGATCCCTGATGCTGATACAGAGAGGTAAAAAGGGGGAGGTACCGGTGGTGGCCCTTTCAGTCGACGCAGAAAAGGCCTTTGATAGAGTAGACTGGGGCTTCATGATGGACACCTTAGAAGCCCTGGGAATCGGAGGTAGAATGAGGGAATGGATTGGAAAACTGTACAGTAAACCCTCTGCAGTGGTAATAGTAAATGGGGAAAAAACAGAGCCCATTGGGATGTCAAATGGAACAAGGCAGGGCTGCCCTTTGTCCCCCTTATTATATGTTTTGTCATTAGAGCCTCTTTTATCAACAATAAGGAAAAATGGAGATATAAGGGGAATTCAGATAGGAAGAGTAGAACATAAAGTGGCAGCTTTTGCTGATGATCTGCTGTTTTATGTGGGGAATCCCAGGATAACACTCCCAAATCTAATGAAGCTGCTGAAGGAATATGGAGATTTATCAAATTTAAAAATTAATCCAACAAAAACAGAGATCTTAAACATAAATATCCCAAAGAGTGAACAAGAGAAAATACAAGAAGAATTTCCCTTTATTTGGAAAGAAAGAGATATAAAATACTTGGGAGTAAGGCTCAGCGCGTCGTATAAAATCTTGTATAAGCTAAACTATATTTCATTACTAAATGAAGTAAAGGGGGAATTAAAAGCATTAGAGAGAGGAATTCCATCGTGGTTAGGACGTATAAACCTGGTAAAAATGATAATCGTACCAAAAATTTTATACAGATTCCAAATGATACCAATTAAACTCCAGGAAGCTTTTTTCAAAGTAATAAAAAGAATGATAACGGGATATATCTGGAGGAAGAAAAAACCGAGGGTGTCCCACGAAATACTAAGTAGAGATAAAGAGAGGGGAGGTCTGGGAGTTCCAGATATAAAGAGATATTATAAAGCAGTAATATTAGGGAGAATTTTTGATTGGACGTTCAATTCAGAGGGGAAGAGTTGGGTGAAAATTGAGAATACACTTAGTGGAACTAATTTGAATAGAATAATATGGCTACCGACACAATATAGAGGATTGAGGGAGGATTTAAGTTTGTACACTGTAAATGTATTAAGGGAATGGGATAAAATACACAAAAATATGAAATGGGAATTTAATTCTATACTTATGCCACTAAGAAACACAGAATTTTTTACACCAGGTAGAGAAGAGATAACAGGTAGATGGTTTATAAAGGAGGATGTCCAACTCAGAGATATAATGGGGGATGGGAAATTGAAGACCTTTAAAGAGTTGGAAAAGGAAAAGGGAAACATCTTCACTAGGCTAGATGAGTGGCGTTATTATCAACTTAAATGTTTTTGGGGAAATCTCCCAAAAACCCCTGAGAACCAAAAAGGATTGGAATTTGTTTGAAAGGTTGTTAGATGCACGGGGTGATGGGAAACACGGAATAGCTGAAGTATATGGAATTCTCACAGATCTTGACACAAACACTAAACCATTGCACATTGTGAATTGGGAAAGAGATATGGGGGTGGTATTAGATGAAGGAAAACAGAAAAAAATAAACAGATTAGTTCACGGAAATGTAAGTTTGAGGGATGTGGAATTAAATTATAAATGTTTGACAAGATGGCACATTGTTCCAAGTGTGGAGGGTAAGATAAGTGCGGAGAAATCACAGTGGTGTTGGCGAGAGTGTGGGGAAGTGGGGACAGTTTATCATATTTGGTGGGAATGTCCAAATATTCAAATATTCTGGAAAAAAAAATAATATATTTAATAGAGAGCATCATTGAAATGAACATCGGGTTAGATCCTGGGATGTGCCTGTTACACAGTTCAGAGATATCAGTTAGTAAATATAAGAAATTAGGTTTAGGGTACTACTTGAACGCAGCAAAAAGCCTGATCCCCAAGTATTGGAAGAAAAAAGAAATACCGAAAGAGGAGGAGTGGATAGAGAGAGTAAACTGGACTAAGGAGATGGAGAAGACATATTATATACAGGAAGATAAGATGGAATTATATCTCACGAAATGGGAAAAATGGGAAAATTTTGTAATAAGTATGAGAAAGTGAAAAGTAGAACGTCATAGAGAAACAACTGGGTAGGATATGCTTGCTTTGGTTACAAGACAAGGAAATGCAGAGTGGGGGGGGGGAGGGGTCAAGGTTTTAAGAGGGGGGTAAAGGAAGAAATAAGAAATGATTGTATATTTATGATGTTTGAGATGAAAATGTCTATTTTTATCTTTTTTTTTCTATTGTTATTTCTGTGAAAATTATTAATAAATATTTAAATACAAAAAAAAAAAACAAATAATGGGGTGCCAAGCCATGAAGAGCTTTAAAGGTGAGCAAGAGGATCTTAACCACGAGCCTACAGGGCACTTATACCCCCTTCCTGCCCAGGCCAATTTCCAGCTTTCAGTGCTGTCACACTTTGAATGACAATTGCGCGGTCATGCAACATTGTAACCATATGAAATTTTTAACCTTTTTTTTGAGACAGATAAAGCTTTCTTTTGGTGGTATTTAATCACCTCTGGGATTTTTATTTTTTCTTAAACAAACCAAAACCACTGAACATTTTGAAAAAAAAAAAAAACGTTTTTTCTTAGTTTTTGTTATACAATTTTGTAAATAAGTGATTTTTCTCCTTCACTGATGTGCGCTAATGAGGCTGCAGTGATGGGCACTGATAGGCTGCACTGATGGACACTGATAGGTGGCACAGATGGGCACTGATGAGGAGGCACTGGTAGGTTGCACTGTTAGGCATTGACAGGCATCACTGATGGGCACTGAAAGGCAGCACTGATACATGACACTGATATATGGCACTGATAGGCAGCACTGATAGGCAGCACTGACTGGCACTGACAGGCGGCACTGACTGCCACTGTTAGGCAGCACTAACTGGCACTGATAGGCGGCACTGACTGGCACTGACTCGCACTGATAGGCGGCATTGACTGGCACTGATAGGTGGCACTGATTGGCAGCACTGATTGGCATTGGTAGGTGGCACTGACTGGCACTGATGGGTGGCATTGAAAGGCAGCTCAGATGGGCACTGATATGTGGCATTGATGTGCACTGGTATGCACTGATATGTGGCATTGATGTGGCACTGATGGGCACTGGCATGTGGCACTGATGGGCACTGGCAGGTGGCACTTCTGGGGCCACACTGATCATCAGGGCACACTGATCATCAGTGCCCTGATGATCAGTGTACATGTCCCCTCCGCGGAAAGCCAATTACCGGCTCTCCTCTCGAGCTGTCAGCGTGACAGCTCGAGAGGAGAGAAATGCCAGTAACTGGCATTTCCGTGTTTACATGTGATCAGCTGTGATTGGACACAGCTGATCACATGACCAAGCCGACATCTTCGGCTCTTTCCGTGATCCACTGTGTCCGAGGGACACAGCGGACCGGCGATCACCACACTGCGCGCTCCCTGAGCCGTGCATGCGCAGTGAGAATGGTAGGACGTCATATGACCTCCTATCAGAATGAGAGAACCACCTTGCGCCCATCATTGTACTATAGGGCGGGCGGAAGGTGGTTAAAGTCTATGCGAATCCTGATGGGTAGCCAGGTGCAAGGACTCCAGGATAGGGTAATATGGTCACTTGTACCATACCTAGTGAGGATTCTGGCTGCAGAATTTGTACATATTGTAGTTGATTAATAGTGAGTAGAGCACTGCAATAGTCAAGTCGAGAGAACACAAGTGTTTGGATCAGCTTTTCAGCTACAGTGTATGATAGCATAGGACGCAGCCGAGCAATGTTTCTTAAGTGGAAAACAAATGTTCTGGCAACATTTTGTACATGTGGATCAAAGGTTACGCTAGCATCAAATATCACCCCTAGATTTCTCAATTTAGACTGACGCTCAAGTACAGTGCCATGGATAGGCTACCAAGACTGGCCTTACACAATTGATGGGGTGCTAATAAGCATGACTTCAGTCTTGCCACAGTTTAATTGAAGAAAAATTATAGGCCATCCAAGTTTTTATATCATAAATACAGTTAGATAGGAGAGAAGCAGCCAAAGTAGAAACCAGTTTAGTGTGGATGTATATCTGAGGGTCGTCAGCATAGAAGTGTTAATTGAGCCCATGTGTTCTAAGCAGTTGGCCAAGTGCTAAAAAGTAAGGTACCAAAGATTGAGCCCTGAGGAACACCGTACTTGACTGGACCGACTTCAGACTGAAATCCACCAAGAGAAACAAAGTGACAGAGTTCAATAAAATATGACTTAATCCATTTCAGAGCCAATTCTGAGACTCCAAATATGGTTTCAAGGCAAGAGAGTAAAATATTGTGGTCTACAGTATCAAAGTAGTGTGGTCTACAGTATCAAAAGGCAGAACTAAGATCCAGTAGAATAAGGACAGTCAATGAACCAGAATCAGAAGCTAACAGAAGGTCATTAGTGACTTTCTGTGCTGTGCACTTGCCGAAAACCAGATTGGAGGGGTTTAAATAGGTTATTTAAACCCAGGTGGTTATGTAACTGAGATAAAACAACTTGCTTGAGCATCTTGGCAAAGAAGGGTAAGTTAGGTATGGAGTGAAAGTTGTTTAAATTGTCCAGAGCCATGTTGGGTTTTTTTTCTGTACCGGGGTGATAGCGGTAGTTTTAAGGATCATTGGTACAGAACTGGTGCTAAGGAAGTTATTTATAATATTGATACTAATGGGGCATAGGACTAAAACAGGATTTTAATAAATGGGTGGGAATAGGATTAAGTATGAAGGAGGAAATTTCATATTAGATCCCAATTTAATCAGAGATGTAGAATCAAGTGCAGAGAAGTGGGAGAGAGAAGAGCCAGGAAAACTGGGTGGATCATGAAATGGTATGGAAGAAATTTGTGCTGAGGTAAGAGTTTGATGCCTTATTTTGTTTATTTTTTGGAAGAATATGTTACAGAACTGTGTTGAGGCTGGTAATGTGGAGGTACTGCAAGATTTTAATAATCTATCCATGGTGCAGAAGAGTTGTCTAGGGTTGCTTAGATTTTTTTTCCATGCCATAGCAGAAATGGGTTGATCTAGTCATCTCAATGTGACCCTTATAGATACACAAATGATCTTTCCAAACCTTATAGTGAACAGTCAAGCCTGAATGTTGCCACCTATGTTCAAGTCTCCGCAAGACTACCTTTATTGAACGTAAGTGAGAATTATACCATGGAGCTGGGTGAGAGATTGAGATGATTTGAGTTTTTAATGGGTAAATGGTGTCAAGGGAATATGAAAGCGCCTAAGGGCATCTATTTTGTCAACAAGGGAGGAGGAGATGCCAGACAGAGAGAAAGTAACAGAAATTGCAAGTTTGGGTTGATTAATAGTAGCCCAGCTATGATAATTAACAGATTGAGCCAGGGAGGTGTTAGAATATGCTAATTCCATACTGAAAATAATAGCTAAGTGGTTAGACAGTCCTAAGTCAAGGGAAGAGTAGTCAGAGATATAAGAGCCATTAGCAATGATAATGTCCAGGGTGTGTCCTTTGATATGCGTGGGGGTGTAAACAAATTGAGTTAGGTCAAAACATTCAAATAAAGCCAAAAAATAATTAGCTAAACTGGAAGACTCTAAGTCAGTGTGTATATTAAAATCCCCATGGATAATGATTCTCTTACAACTAAGGCATAACAATGAAAGCATATGAGCAAATTCACCTAAGAATGCTCTACAAGACTTGGGTGGTCCATAAACAGTAACAATAACAGATGAGTGGGGAGCAATGACCTTGAGAACAAGGTATTCAAATGAAGATAAAGAGGGTATGTTAACAGGGGATAAAGTATTCAACAAACTGTAAATAATAATTATACTTCCGCCTTTGCCTGGGAGACTCGGGAGATCAAGAAAACCGTACCCTGCAGGGGGTGAGTTGGTTGAAAAGGATCCCATTGTTTTGTTTGTGCCAGGTTTCAGTTAAGCACAGAAGATCCAACTTATTGTCTACAATAAAGTCTGAGATAAGTAGTGCCTTGTTATTAGCAGAGCAAGTGTTCAGGAGTGCTGATCTGGCATTCCTTGGAGGATTCATCGAAATCAGAGTGGAGTCAGGGCATTCCAAAGACAAACAAACGAAACCAGCGCTCAAATCCTCATGCAGACTAGAAGGAATACAGAATGCCAAACGAAAAGGTGCAGCCCTTCAAAGATCGGGAAATCTGGATACTGATGGACAAAAAACAAACAAGGGCGCACTCTCATCTTGCATTACCGTGGTACACCACGTGTTTATTGTGTAATCAAATAGATATATACTCACAAACCAAAGGTGAATACAACCAGGAGGCGAGCTAGGAAACCTCCTTCCACTTCAGAAGTAAGAGGTGTAATGTAATAGAAAAAGCGTAGGGGTCTGTGTGGAGGTTTAGAAAGAATTTGTCTCTAAGGCCTCCAATATAGTAGTGTGAGGGTACATAGTAATAATATGGACCTACTGGAACAGATACATTCAATGGAGGCACAATTCATTAAATGCTGGCATTGAGCCACCAGGAAATAATTTCAAGAGTGAGGGAGTGGATTGATAAACTTTACTGATGTTCAGGTGCCAAAACCTAACCTATTTCAAGTCAATAGGAGCAGAATGGTAAAAACCAGTAATGGTCATTTTATAGGCTAAAAGGCTAGGGATTTTCTAAAACATGGTTATGCATATACAAAATAATGTTTTTTTTAATTTCCGTTTGGTAGGGAGAAGCTGTTTTTAGAAGGCTTTAAGTGAAACATAAAAATGTTCTACTATAAAAATGCTATTTAAATTGCCAGTAAATGACAGCTTCAGGTGCTTGATTTTGTTTAAAAAACAGAAGGGCAGGACTACATTCATCTATACCAGACTTTTATGCTGTATGAAGGTATGTTATAAATGTTATTGGATGACCCCACACTGAAAACAGCATGGTGTTACCTCAAAGTCAATACAAGACCCTTATCTCAATATGCGCCCCCCCCAACCTTTCCAGGCCAGGTACCATGTTGAAGAAGACAAGAGCTTCTTCCCCACAACCCTGGCACAATGGTTGTGGGGGTCTGTGGGCAGGAGGCTTTTCGGACTCTGACAGCCCTATTTAAGATAAGATGCACCCAGATACTGTCCCCATGTGAGTAAGGGATTCACAGTAGTCCTGCTTATTCACTTAAGGAATGTAAATAGTAAATTAGAGCATTCCACTTGTTTTACAAGTCCTTTCATTAAAAAAATCCAATTACATATACCCATAATCAATAATGCCATCCAGCAATTTAGATCAATGATAATCATGATGAACAATACCCACTGACCCACTAAAAGAAAATAATCCCGCTGAGAAGATCCAGTTCAGCTGTTCATTAGTGCCTGCACCCACCACTTTTATAAAAGAAAACTGACATGATGGAAGGTATCATGCATAGTAGTGGTGGAAAAAATCCAATGTTCAGCCCCTCTCCTTCCCCAGAACCTTCTGGGACACTTAATGGGTCCTAGAGGACTGTGGGACCATTCACAAAGTGCAGCTTAGCTTCACACAGCAGGAAACCAGCTGTGAAGCCAAAAGGCTTAACGTCCGGTTTCCCTTACTGAAGATGCAGGCACCTGCACCCAAAGCCGATTGAAGAATTGACTCAGGTGAGGATATCACTGGATCCCTGGACAGATAAGTGTCCTTATTTTTAAAGTCAGCAGCTACAATATTGGTAGCTGCTGACTTTTAGTTTTTTTTTGAGGGGGGGGGGCCTTGAGCTCTGCTTTTTATTTTTTTATGATTGAATTTCTGTTTGATTTCAATAAATATATATTCAACCTAAAAAAATGACAGTGCACTTACACACTACATAGTACAGTATTACATAATGTACACATTCTGACTAGGCTGCATTGAAAGAAAAAAAGACTGGGCATGTTGTATCATGAAATAACAATGAAAGTGTATTATTTCAGACAGAAGAGCCAAAAATAATGTTCATACTTTGTTGGCTACAATTTAAGAAGACAAATGTTACAAGGTACATTACAGTGGGGTTTTTTTCTGAGACCAAAGGCAGAAAAATTGTACAGATTTGCTGCACCACATGTACTTTTTATTTGGCTAGGGTCCAATTTTAGAGGGAGAAAGCAGGCAGATATAGCTTTTTTCTGAGAAAGAAGACAGGAAAAGTGTACAGGTTTGGTGTACACCTTTTTTAATAGAATGCAATTTTAGTGGGAGAGAGAGCAGGCAGATTTCCTCTGGAAATAAAGTATGACAGTGCCTTTTTTTTCTGAAACAAAAGACAGAAAAAATGTACAGAATTGGTGCAAATAAATAACAATAGCATCTTTGTTCTAAGACAGAAGACATCATGTACAGATCTGATGCACAGTATGCACTCTTTGTTTTGCCTGAAAGCAATAATGAGGGAATCAGCAGACAGATTTAATC